TTGTAGCGAGTCGCGTCGATGGCAATGTGTTCGTTGCATTCTCTGCTCTTCCTACCACCCCTTTCTCTCCTACCGCTTCAGATCGCCTCGTTTTCAACGTGAAACAGCCGCTCTTTGAAAGCTCTTTGGAATGAGGTCTCCTTCGATCTCAACGTTGGAAAATTATACACGGACAAATAGGTATCGCAATGTTACATGTTTGAAGTATCTCATGAGTTTATGATGTTCGCGAATCTATCACAAGTTCATCAGATTTATCCGGAATACATCCTGATTTCCAGTGAGTTTAGCATTTCAAGAATATAAGGATTTCTTGAAAAGTTTAGATAACAATATTTTATCAAAAATATTAAATTTAAAAGTATACTAATTTTTTATATGTAGGTTTAACCTTCCTCTTTAAAACAAGTCGAGATAGAAATCGATAAGACTATTTGTCTTAATGATGTGATTTTTTTTATAAATAGGGGACGTAGAAGATACGAAAGGGCTAATAATTACAGTGATCCAAGGCACGCGACACGCCGATGTCACGACAAACGAATGAATGCTCGCGATCGAAAATAAACCGAGCCAAGTCTCCCGCGATGGCCAAGTCTCGTGATGCACGGTTGCACCTCGATCTAATCTGCGTTTTCGTCAGCAAAGAGCGGCGAGTTACGGAGCGTAAGCTGCCGACAAATGTCGCGCGATCGGCCTGGACACGAGCGGTTGACAATTCGCGGGTGAATCCTAATCCGCATCAGTGACTCGCGTATCTGCGCGCGCCGAACAACAATATCGAGTTCGGCAGAGGCGATATGCAAATAGCTACAAGTACGACTCGCAATCGGCGGCCTCTAATCTCGCCGAGTGTGCCGAACGGTTAATGCCTTACGGTACCGCGAACGATACGTTACCATGCGTATCAAATGGAAAGATTGTTGTTCCGTGCCGGTGTTACCGTTACACACGATCCTTTCGTTATTTCGCGCCGGTGCGCTCGCTGAATTGGCACCGATCGCGAAATCGCGAGAAGTATGCATCGGAATCAGTTGCATCGCTCTCCAATCCAGTTACCCCGGCGGCTATTTTTGTCGGCTTGCATTCCGATATGTCCACTAAATGGTTATCGTAAATGCTAGAAGCGCACGCCATATTTCCCATAATTTCCTCAAATTGCGATTCTCTCGATCAGCTCGCACAGAAAACGATTCTTCGTCAAACGATTCCGCAGCTTCCGAACATATTTTCCGTAATTTCCACAATTTGCGATCCTCTCGATTAACTCGCAACGAGAAAGAAGGGAACATTTTCTGTGTAAAACGATTCCATCGGACGGACAGCACGCTATTTTCAATCGATTCTCAATTTACGAAAGTGCGCAGATTTATGATCATTTGTAAATCAGCGATCTCTCGCGATTCGATATCTTCGTCGAAGAGGAATTAATTTCATATTCATGAATGAGGAAAGGATCCGTGGATTTAAAATAGATCGTGAAAAAACGCTCGGAGAGGGGGAGAGGGAGAAGGAGTCGTTTATAATCTCATAACCTGAAAATTTTCCTCGTTCATTCGCGAATATCCGCACACTCGGAGCATACGTTATGCAAATCGCATAACGCTTTCCAGATAGACGCGATTGACAGACGCAATTAATTATTTAATCGCAAATGATTTAGACGGGACGCGTGTAACTGTAATTAACGAGCCGCTCGTCGCGCGGCTGTTTGCATATTTGCGCGAAACTGCAGGATCGATTAGTGCCATTAAAATCATTAGATGTGAGAAAGAGTGAGTCGCGCATCTCCACCTGGCCAACGTGGAGCCGTTGCCGTCGGCTTGTAATACCGTTTAGTGAATGCACGCCTGCGAGAGAGCTTGTACGTATATCAGTTTCTAATCTGCGACACAGAGCACGCAGGACGTGTTTCGAGAGGATCGTATACACGTAACGAAGCATGCGTACGTTCGTCGCGCCTCGCATATAATTATACTCGCGCGCGCGTGAACGTCGGGGTCGTCGAAATTATTGCGATATAGCCGCGCGTGAATTACGCCGAGATGCCCCACTACAGATAATACGAGCGAACGAATTCAGAAATATCGCGTTAGTGGACGTCACGTCGCACATGTCCCATTCATTGACGCTAAAGCAGCCGGCTAAAGCAGCGAAAATTTTATCGTATGTACATATCAAATACGATCCCCGTGAGTGTCAACGAGAGTGCACTCACCGACCAGTACCATGGTTTGCTTTAAACCCCAATATTCCTCCGTTAATTTCCAGCGAATTTCGCTCGAGCAGTTTTGTAATCCGAAATCTAACCATGAGTAGATTTAGTTGGAGATTAAGAGCATCGAGTTTGAGAGACTCGTAATGAAATTTTGAGGAAAAAAATATCCGCCATAAGCTGATCAAAGTACACGCTTTTAATCCTAAAATTAATTTTACAGTCGCCCAATGTTGGGTATTAATCGATTGAAATTTTTTCAGACTGAATCGGTAATCGGCAAATCAGTAACCAAAATGAATCAGTCTTCGTGTATGTGAAATAATTTAGTAATTGGTGAAATTAATCAGGAAATAATTAATCACGTCACAATTAATAATTAATTAATACAATTATTTATGACTTTATGTATGACGATTGATTAACCTCTTCAGTTGCGATTTAAGATAAGCGTGCGATTTCATCTGGAGGAAAATTTTTTTAATAAGTATATCTACACTTTTTTTCTCTCTATTGCTACTTTCTTTGAAGAATCTGAAAAAATAATATACAAAATATATCTATTTTTCATTTGTACTTGCTATGAGTGAGCAAAAAATGCAATAGTTTAAATAAGTCAAAAGAAATTTGATATTTTACGAAACTTTTCTATATCATTTAAAAGCTTTGATTATTGATTTGCTGATTACTTGAGCCAAAGAAAATTTTAATCGCTGAATCGCTTACTCTTTGAAGTCGGTGACGAATTTCAAACATGTCGATAATGTAATTATCGTTGCTAATGCAATCACGCTATCCTTTTCATAATATTTATAATTTTATACAGAAAAAAGTCAGTATTCTGTTGGTAAAAATTCCTCTCAGCTCCAGTATCCCCTTATTGCCCAACACTGAAGTCGCCTCGTATCTAATTGAGACAAACTCGGGTCGCAAACAGAAATGAAACAATAAAAACAAAAGAGGACAAGCACCAAGGAGCGCCGTGCAGAGGACGAGTCTCAGTCGTGCTGCGAATCGAGTGGGTTCCCGAGATCTGCACATAGTCTAATAACAATCAAGCGGACAAGAAACCTGCACGGGGAGAGAAGCGCTATACGCTAACGCAAATATGGTTTTCCGACGTCGGATACCAGTCGCTTGTGACTCATCGCTCTCTGTTGCGCGGTCCTCTTCCTTCGGCCCACGCGAACTGACCGCTGACCAGCCCACATCCTCTCGCCCGCCGCCGCCACGTAGCCTCTCGCCGTGATGTATTAAATTAATGGAACACGCGCATCTATATATGAACGATTAGTTTACACCGACACACGACGCGGCCACCGGCCGACGCGACGAGACGGCAAACGTGACGGTTGACGCAAAATCGACGCTACTGTGCACTCCCATCGAGTGCGCTAAGGATACTTCAAACTTACGTTATACGATGCTTATTACGCCGCTCGCGGCGTTGTACACTTGTTATATTATCACGGCTGAATGGAGGTAACAGGTAACGAGCGGTTAGGTAACATAGATACCACGCTGTGATAATGCGTGATAACGTATCCGTTATGAGGAGCGCTCGTGAAGAATGGCGGAAAACTTTGTTCGTGCTTGAATTAATTCGCGATCGATATCCCCTTAAGACTTCTTTGTACCCCGCCGACCATGTCGGATTTGTGATGTCGTAAATGAGGGATGACATATGCTGACGAAAATTGCGCGCTATTTCTAAGTAAAGACAAGTACGAACGAAAGAGCATTTGAGATTGCTCGAGCACACTTGCTCGATAATATCGCATATTGCGGAGTAAAAACACAAAATTGACAAAATTTTAATGGCGATAGCAACGCACCGTTCTGCTTCAGGTTTTGCAGGAAAAAATTAGTAAAATTACCCTTTAGCAATATTTTTGTATATTTCCATTTCACCAAATCAAAAACTGGCGTTTAATCACAACGTCAAAGTCTTTTCCGGGCCGGATGTAGTCTACTTGAAAATACGACGCTATATAATTCACAATATACGCGTGCCGATAAATGTGTACCGTTACTTCCTCATGATTCGCAAAGATTTTCCACGGTTGTCGCGCAGGTCTTCAGTTCGATGTCGTGCAGCGCAAACGTATCCCTGACCGACACTCATTATTACTCTCGATTATTATACTCGGCAGATAATGTGTATGTTGCAACGGTACACGTATCAGGAGACACGCGACGGACAGTTTACCAAATAAGCAAACTCGTCGACTGGCGCTAAGTGAGAAGTAGTAACGAAGAAACAAAAAAACGTTTCAATGACAAAGGACAAAACATATAGAAAAGTGATTTCAAAATTGTCTAAAAACTGGATATGTTGTAGTTTTTGACCTCCTGATCATAAATTTCGTAGGTAAAAATTCCTTCGAACATGGACAGATTTCTTTGCTACAAGTGTTTAAAAGCAGCAATATTAGATTCACGTACGCTGAAGATCTATTGATTAGTTCGACATGTGACGAACCGTATCTCTGCTGACATACACACACACACACAAGGGATCAATCACTCATCACGTCCACGTCGTTGATCCTGGGTAACACGAAAAGTAAGGAACAACAAAAAAGTCACACGCATGCACACACGTATACATCAATATGCAATGTCGAACTAATCACAATAGATCTTTTAGATACTTCATAGAAGTAAACTTCACATTTCGCAGAAAAAACTCTACGTTCCATAAGTAAATTTTTCTTCTCAATATATCAACGTTATCGTCGCATTTTGAATTCCGGCAATAATAAGACAGAAAATCAAGACTCACCGAGGCCAAGATGGTGACAAGGTAACGCTGGGTCTTCTCGTAGTCCAGCGTACGATTGACCGTGACCTGCCCCTGGTGCGGCAGATGGATACTGAAGTAACCGTAGCCGTCGGCGGTGGTAATCCTGTCGCGTCCGACACCCTCGTTGCCGCCGATCATGCTGCTGTCGCCGGGCGCGATCGAGTACTCCACGATGCCGTTGACGCCGGCGTCGGCGTCGACCGCCATCACGTTCTTGAAGATCGTGGAGCCGACCGGAGTGAGCTGCAGCAGCACGAGGAAATTATTTCCAATACAATTTGTCCGCGTCACCCGGGGAGGAAGCAGCGCGAGATACGCGCTGGAAGTCACGGCTTTTCGTGCTTCCAGCTGCGATGAGAAATCGCAGGACGATATATTCCGCTGGTTCTTGCGGAATCGAGCGGGATTAAATTTATGCGGCGCGTAGACGCGATTTCAAGGGATGCTGGTTAATTGAAGGCCGCTGGGGTCAAATGACCTCGGCCGTCGGGATTAATAATTCGACCGTGCGCGCTCGACTCTCGGAACAGGCCGAGCAGGTTGCTCGCGAGGACGCCGCGAGAACGTGCGTGCGCGAGAATCTATGGGGGTAGGGGCGAGACCTCGTTGGGGATTACGCGAAAATAATTCAGCGGCTTTTTGCAGCGGCGAAAGCCGCGCGCATTTCCGATTAATCCGCAGAGATAAGTCCGACTACTGTGCGCGGCGCGACCGGAATGTATATTCTCGTTGCTGGCGTGCAATTCCGACCCCTCGGAATACGACGTTGGTCCTAAACCTCGGGCCCAATACACGCTTGTTCATCACATTTTCGCTTATCTAACGGAATCAAAGGCTCTTCCTCGCAGCTCGGAGATGAGAGCGACTTCCTAACGAGGGGGGTGTATCGTCTCTTGCGGACAACAGGGGAGACCGGGTTTAGTTGAGAGATTGCGACCGGGTTTAGTTGAGAAATTCCAAAACTAACGGACCAATATAAGTAGAGACAAGAAAAGATTGACTCACCACGCCTAATTTTGAAGAAGTGTTTGTAAATATTGTGCGTGATTCATGTTTTTGTCATAAACCATTTCATCTGACTAACATGATACAATCTGTACTATACACTGAGAGAAAAATATAGTTGCCTTTGGCGTCAACTATGCGCTTTTGTAATTTTAACCACAAAAATAATTAGAAGAACCACTGTTTTAGTAAATATTATTAGAAAGATGGTTTTTCTAATTATTTTTCTGGTTAAAATCAGAAAAAAGTATAGTTGACGCCGAAAGCAACTATATTTTTCTCTCAGTGTAGAGAAGAATATACTCTTTTCTTTATTACATGGAATATAAGCTTTGTGACAAATGACCAGTGTGACTTCTAGCCCCTGTCTCTTGTCTCCAGGTCGGATTAACTTCGATAGTTCGCGAGTAACTTGACAAGAAGAGATCCCGATACATGAATAGCAAAGCTACAGGGTCGTAAAGACCGAGAAAGTCTTCGTCACTGATTTTGTTGCGACATTGTGTCGTCAATTGCCGCGTGTTTCTCTGCAAGTACTAGATAAGCGAAAGCATAAGTAAAACGAAAATAAACCGTTCGCGACTGGTCTTTTTGCAGCCGCGAAGGCGATTATCGCGCCGATGAGTCCCGCGTGTCCCCGGAACCGGTTGCCCGAGCTCATTATGGATTAATTAGCTCAAACGCACGGAAATCATGCGCGAGCCCGACGTTCCGCGATCCCGATCTCGGGAACTCCCGCGATTCCGCAATTATGCACGGCAGGTGGAGCAAAGGTTGCGCGGGGCCCTACGTATTTCGCCGGGTTTCCACGGTAAGAGTGGATGCAAAAGCGCCTTTAATTAGGCGATAATCTGGAGCCACCAGGGCTATCTTGGCGGAATCGTTTCCTTCCTCGCCGAGCTCTGAAACGGTCGCGGCACGACACGCTGCTTTTAAATGGAGATTTACACTTTATTAAGCCTCTCGACGGGAATATAATAGCCGAGCAGAAAAGACTGAGTTAACGAAGTTGAAGCTATAAATTGCCACGAGCTCTCAACTTCTAGTGCCTTTCGATCGCAATCGATGACTTCATATTGCACTCGTAAATTACAATTTATTTCTGATCTCTACTCTACACTTTTTATTCGTCGGCAGTTTCGCGAACGGATATTTAACACTAAATTCACGGAATGCATGTTCGGAAATACGAATTTTATGCACAACTCATAACTTGGAAATTATCGTGACCCTGATATTTTCACAGTAGAATTTTCTAATTCGATTAAATCCCGGAATACGTTGTTAAAGTTTTCGCGCAATAATTTTGGGGTTACATCGCAGGTATAAAAGCATCACGCAAAATTGCGTACAGCGCAAAGTCGCGACTCGTATTCGATCGAGATGCACATACGTACGTGGATTTCGCATCGCCCTCGGCTAAATTGTTCGGTACTAAGACGCGTTATTTCCGACATAACGGACCACGAATGCACGAAGGCAAAATAATTCACGATATGCGTGGCGCTGCATAGTAGAATCAGGTGAAATTTCATGTTTCAAAAAAAGCTACAGCTTTGAAATTTTAACCGATATCGAATCTTCTTTCTTTGAATGAAAGCTAATTAAATTTAAAATAATTCTGTCGAATCAGATTTTTGTCTTTTGCTTTTTTTCTTCTCGAAATTAGACATAAAGAAATTTAGAAATACTTTTTGATCAAACAGTAGATAATATAACTCATTTCATATCTCATCTAATTTAATATAAGGCATCTAATTTAATATAAGGCACAGATATTGAAATCGAAATTAAATATTTATCCTTATTAAATCCTGATTATAAGCTTGAAAAAATTCATACAAATTGACATAGACTCGCTAAATCTTACCTTAACTTAACAAATTAAATTAATTTAAATAGTGCCTGAAATTTTAGTAAGTAAAAACTATTGAATTAAGTAAGACTATTACTATTATGTTACTAATTTTTATTAATTGTTGAAGTAATAAGTTTCGAACTTCTGTATCCATTGGAATTGTTTAATCGACAAAAATCTAACTTCTTTATGATTTAGAAGGGAAGTAAAAGACAAAAATCTGGCTCGACAAAGTTGTTCCAAATGTCATTAACTTTTATTGGAAGAGAAGAGTATCGAAACTAGTTCAGAATTTGAGATTGCAGTTTTTTGTTGAAACAGGAAATTTTATTTGACCCGCAAATTTTATTGTGCGCCGATTGGTCGGCCGGCGATCGCCAATGTTCCCGCTCACGTTCAGTTCGAAATGGCTCACGTCGATTTAGCGATATGACGAATCTACTTTCATCGAAGACGCGCGGTGACTCGACGATAAGGACGGAATAATAGAGCTCGTCCGCGCTCGCGCTCGTCGATGATTCGCATTCGACACACTTTTAGTTTCCGCAAAAATTCCGTCACGCGTGGAAAGCGCCTGAGACGCGTGAAGAAAGTTCCGCACCTGACGCTACACTGCGCGAATACTACGTGCGCGATGCGTGGAAAATGCCATTAATACCGGGCCCATTCGTATCACGCGCGCGTCATGCGGCATTTTTGCGATTCTCCAATTATACTCGGGTGGAGATTTAAAACGGGGGTTAAAAAGGTCCTACAAAGTTTTTCTCTGCTCTTATCAGGACTCTATGAAGACAGGTCTCTACTTGAGCTTTACACAGAGGTGTGACGTTCATATAAATTAGCACCTAGACTTGTAAACCTGACCCTATCTTGATGTGCTTAATGGATTCTGACTGAGATGACGGATTGATATTCTATTTTTTGACACATTTATTTAAGGTATAAATCATAACGTTTCTTTAACATGCTTTCTTACAATTTTATTACAATTTTTCTTCAAATATTTATTAAAATTTTTTTTATTATATATAATATTACTGTTGTCATCAATATGGAACATCTCTTTTTTCTTTTTTTCTAGCTAATTTATCCATTCATATTTTTTACTCAAAAAATTTTCTTCTAAAAAGATTCATACTTAACTATGAAAAATATAATAAACTCTCATAAAAAATATTTACCTTATAATCATTAACTATTAATGAACCGTTTCTTAACCAAAGTTATTTTTTTAAATTTACTAACTTACCTCTGACCGAGCCTTATTAGCACTTGGGGCACTCCCGCATTAATTCATGATCCATTCGCGAAATTCCACTTAGAATTTGTCTATTTTAGCTATACCTAAGCCTTCTGAGGACATGCCTATTTTGAATCATCCATGTCAGCATCAATTCATGGTCTATTCATGAAATTCTATTTAGAATTTTCCTATCTTGGTCATATTTGACCTTCTAAAGGCATCTATTTTAGAGCATCCCTGTTCAGAGTCATTACGCACTTAAAACCCGCCTCGATTAATTTCTACCCGGGTAACGTTTCTGCTGTTTCTCTTACGCTACTTCCTTCTCAACTTTCCAATTAGAAATGTTTCCACTGTTTCTCGCGCGGCGTCCCCGTTATTTATTTAGCCCGTCTTCCAGCCGGCAGGGGGGTGGCAATTATCGAGCTTTCACTTCGTTAACTCGTATCTCTTATCCGTCCATCATACGCACAATTATAACCCATAATAGAAATGAATTTCCAGCAGCGCATGCATACCGTACGTACCGCGACTCGTTACAGATATATAGATTTACACACCTGCACGTCGTGAATCAGCGCATTATGTCCGCATTTTCATGCTCTACGTCCGACCGTTCTTTTAATGGTGAACGCATTTTCCACCGCGGTACCGTCTGTTTTATTGCGCGCGCGCGCGAGGAAGGCGGTGTCGGCGGAAAAACCGTTGATTGAAACCACCGTGGTTGTTGCCGAACCGGCGGCACTTCTCCGTAGAGGATGATCGAGCGATATCTTACGAGACCACACCGATTAGTCACGATATCCTATTATATCAAGCGAAAACGACCAGTTTCTTCCACAATATAGCCCCATATTAAACGCTCACCTCCGGGACGGTGGTCTCATACGGCGTGTTGGTGAATTTCGGCGCATTGTCGTTGATGTCGGACACCCTCACGATCACCGGGATTCCGCGGTGCTTATTCGTGGACCTCACCGTGCAGTTGAGCTGAAAAACGAACAAAAAGAACCAACGTTGAATGATGTAAAAACTTGATCGCGCACTGAAAGAAAAAAATATTTCTCCTGATGATAACTCTCATATTACGTGATTATAGCTACAAAAAATACCAAGTACTTTTTACTCAGCGTGTGTTTTTGCAGCGTGTGTAACGCTAAGCGTCGCTTGAATCTCGCTAAAAGAGAATTTAACGCTAGGTGAGTGAAACATCTGCGCTTAGCATATATATCGGTGAAGAAAGTACAAGAGTCATGATCGCATCAAAGTTGCGTCTGTTCCAAAAGTTATACTTGTTTACGTAACGCGAAAAATGAAAAACAGTGGATAAAGGTTGCAGGTTCATGCGTTAAAGTGCAGGATATGCGGCTTTTCGGTGAACTGAACCTCCAAAATGAAGATAAATAAATAGCTCGGGTAATTCCCCGGTCAGTTTTAATTAATATAAGTGACGAAAGCGGCGTAAAATTACTAGCAAAACGTTAAGCGCGATAATTTCTTCACGTGGGCCGAGGCACGCCGACATTACACACTTCGACCGAGCGAGGAAATAATTAATTAACTCTGGTGGTCGGATTAATTTATTCCGAGCTAAGAGTTGCCCGTCGCGTAAATTTTCCTGAACCGATCGAAACGCGCTCCCGATACGAATGAATTTACCTCCATTCCAATTTGCATTTCTCGATCTCATTAGATTTTATCCGCCCGCTCCAGCCGTAGCCGAGTTGTTGAAGCGTTCGATGCGGTGTGCTCTAGACCTTTCACATTCCTCGCGTGATAGTGTCATAAGACGCAGTGCGCACACGTGTATGTGTGTGTGCACTTGCGGATGCCGAAGAGAACGTGGCGTCTTCAGATCGTGTGCAACAATGAATGTGAACGTGTACAAATCTCGCGTGATTCCATCAGAAATGTGCCAATTAAGAGAAATTCAAAAGAACGCATTCTGAAACGCTGATTTCACGTGTAATTAAAGCCTAAGTCCTGTTTCTTCCTTTGGAGCGAGCAGAAACGCGTTCTCAAACACGATGCAATTGCCTGAGAAGGAACATTACAAAAGAAAATTAACTGAAATTCTCTTAAAAACAAGCTCCTTATTTTTTAGAAGTAAATTCTTCGTGAGATAAGAAAAATCAAATCGTATGAATGCGTGTATTTCTCTCTAGTTTTCTTCTTCCTTTTTTTCTTTTTTTTTTTTATAGAAATCTCTATGAGATTTGCAATTCTTAGATCGCTACTGTATTGACGACGGAAAGAGTTGAGTTTACATGTTTTTAATTTCATTTAATTCCGGCTCACACACAAGCGAACGACATATTATATCTACACTATATTATATAGTGTATTAATATACTATACTATATCTATATATATTACAATATATATTATAATTATAATATAATATATATTATAATGTAATAATATTATATTACTATATTATATATTATATTACATTTATACATATAATATATATATATAGATAGATATGTATGTCTATCGACATATACTATGGCTGCGATCCGTCACGCTCGCGGCCGTTGGGAGCGTGTAACGGATCGCGGTCTATATCTATTGTCCTTCTACACAATCAAAACATTGGCCAAATCTACCTTCGTGCCTCGTGAACTTTTTTTGTTTTCATTCAGTTTCAGGCCGGCGAGCGACACGCACACAACGGACTACATGTGTCGGCGCGTTATTTATTGTCGCTCTGCGTAATCAAGCATTCGCGTTCTACAAGACGGTCAAATTCATCTTCGTGCCTCACGCACGTTTTCGGATGTCTCCATTCAGTTCCGAGTCGGCGAGCGACACGCACACTACGGACTATGTGTGTCGGCGCGTTATCTGTTGTTCCTCTCGAGTGATTAAACTATTCCGTCGATATTTGGAGACACTTACTCCTTGTTCACAACCTTGCTTTAATCTTTAAGCCGTAATAAGTTGACCAACCACAGTCGATTATTTTAAAAATAATCAACTGTGGTTGGTCAATTTCTTACGGCTTAAGAATTAAAGCAAGGTTGTGGACAGAGGTTAATCAGTCTCTCGTCGACATCACGTTATTTAACACGTCTTCGATTAAATCGTGTTCACGCGAGTGTCAGTGTCAGTGCCACGACGGAGCAGTCTGGATACTGGGTCGGGCAACCAGGATGGAGGACGTCGACCGCGGTGGAGATATATCATATATTTCCACACAAGGTGTGTTAAGTCACTTATTATACCGGAAGTTTTCGTTTTTAAAGGATGTTTTACGCACATACTGAGAATGAAGAAATACCCGAGTCGAAATTCAAGCCGGCATTCATAATTTGTTATCGTTGGACATATAATTAGAGTTTCATTGATATTCGATTAATCGTCAATCTGATTTGTATTGTTACATTTTTTCTATTTTAACATTATTATTAACATTATATTTTTAACTCTATTTTTAACATTATTATTTATTTGCATTATTGATTACATTGTTTCGTACAAGAGATATTGATCCAAAGAGCTGAATGATGATTTACGTATACGAATTCGTAATTAACTATGTTCTCAATCAAATATTTTATATAATTTACAACTTTATGAACGCCGGCTTTAGAATATATATATATATATATATATATATATATATATATATATATATATATATATATATATATATCTCAAGTACGGATTTTTATGTTTAATAATGCTTTTTTGCCCGCGCATTCGATCTTATTTACATCTGCGAGCGCCTTCTTTTACTTCCGTTTGGCTTTGTTATCGTGTACCGAATCTAAACATAAATCTATATTATTGAACAGCATTATTAGACATACACATATAACTGTCATCTTTATTTTTACAGCTTCAAATCAGTTCTTTTGAGAGCTACAAATCTCATCAAAACTTCCATTAATTTCTTAAGTGGTGTAATTTAAAATTACTTTGCGACTTTTCCTAGAGGGGACAGGGTTTTCCTTTTTTAAATAAACATATTTAGATTTCTTTTCTCTTTATTGCTAATTTCTTGGAAAAATTATGAAAAATGGGATATAAAATATATCTGATTTGCTTGTTTGTTTTAGTTATGAAACATACAATAGTGTTAAACAATAGTATTTAAACAAATCGAAAGGAATTTAATATTTTACGACAAAATTTCTCCGCAGATATACCACTTAAGGGGTTTAAAAAAATATCAAAAAAACAAAAAAGAAAAATTAGGAAAAGATGAGATTTATTGTTGTTCTTTTACCCACATATCTACCCATTCATTCTTATTAAATGATTTAACATTTGCTCGTCCGATCTAAAAAGTTAGAATCTAACAAAGTTAGATCTAACAAAATTTATATCAATTTCGTTCGAACATAGTCGCCAATTGCCAATCGCGAGTGTGTAATTGATATATTAACTTAGTGGGAAAGGCACAGGCACATTTGTTAAATAACTAGTTGATCTGAACCGTTCGATGTGGCCGAGGATTTTTACTTCTTCCGGGTGCCGCGTGAACGATGTACGTTTTCGGAGACTTTCCGGCCGAGCGGTGCGCAACTATCGTGAGTGGCAATTGGCGAGTAGTTTTTACGCATCGAATGCATCCGTTTGCGCAATTTTTCCGACATTTCTCCCGCGAAGGGAGATGCATCGAGGGAGTTTGACATCGGCTGTAAGATCTCAAGGTAGGTGCTAAGATAAGTCGTGAGGAGGCCGCTTGTAATTCACGTTTTGATAAGGTGACCAGATTTCCCAGCCCTGAATTCGGAACACTTTATAAATGTGTGAAGTGGGGGGCGGGGGGAGGGAGATAAAAAGACCCGAAATTAAGATCCTCGCTCTTTTCGCGAAATTATTTGACAATCATTGAAAATGATGACAAATCGGTATTCCAAATAGAAAAAATTCCCAAATAGCAAAAAAACTCGAAAAAATTCAGGACAAAGAGTGAAAAATCGGGACGTCTGATCACTTTAGCTGTACGTGTCGAGAAGGGAGGAGATTATTCCGTAATAATGTACTTACGATATGCCTGACGACCGCATATCGTTGTTTTCGGCACTCTAATATTTATTTCCGCAAGAGATTTACAGGACACAAGCGAAAGACGTATGGAATACAGAGCGTTGTATCCATGGCAATTGCTCTGCATAAAAAGATCGCATACGCGCGCGCTGTCAATCACGTACACCAAAAGTTCATTAGCGCGCCGAAAGTGCCAAAAGTGCATGAATGTAAGAATGCCGCTAGTGATGCGAACGAGATCGCTTCTACAACGACGCGATCTGTACGGCGGACGCCTTAACCACTTGCTCGAATTACTAACCCTTCTAGACCAATCGCGTTTGTTTCGCACTACGAGGTTGTCATCGTAGTTATTCAATCTAGATAATAAATCAATGCTCGATCTTTTCGCGCCAAGCAGCAACCATGGGCACACATCGCTCCGCGTTTCTCGCGTCTTTTATCCGTCGAAAGTGAGTCTCGCGCGTTAATAAGTCTCGGGAGTGTCGAGAATAGCGATGTGCGATCGCCGGGGCGTATCGTGAAGACATCATTTGTAAGTAATCTTCTCGTTTTTCCTCGCGGTATATACGGCCGATGCTTGTCGCGACGTGTCGTGCCGACATCCCTTACATTTGCTAATAACATCGACTCGCTCAAGTAGCAATAGAATCGGGCGATCGTCGGATTTATTGAACGGGAATTAGAAATGCAATGACAATCAGAGAATAAGAAAGAGAGATACGGGTATTCAGCTTGTTGCGTTACGGTTGCGTCAGCTTATTAGGAAAAGAGATATGGAAAGAAAAGTATCTCATAGAACGCGTTCTTTTCGGCCGCGGCGCCGTTCACATATTGGCGTATATTTTCAGCGCGATTCAACAATCGCGCGACCATCTTGATTCTCGAATTTTCTGCATCGAGCAACCACCGTAGACACATCGATCGACATCGCTCAGCATTTTACGCATCTTTAACCCGTCGAAAATAAATCTTACGCAGAAATAAATGTCGGGAAAATAAATGTCGGGAAGTGTCGAGAAAAGCGATGTGCGATCACCGGGGCGTGTCGTGAAGACGTAATTTGTAAGTAATCTCGTTTCTTCTCGTGGTATATGTAAGGTAACTAGATTTCCCACTCTTAAAGTATCCTTTCGGGACACTTGATAAATGTGTGAAGCGGGAGGAGAAAGGTAAAAAGATTCGAAAATTGTTTGACAGTCATTGAAAATGATGACAAATCGGTGTCCCAAATAACATTCGAAAAAACTCGAGACAAAGGGTGAAAAATCGAGACATCTAGTCACCTTAGTTTTGATCTTGTTATATGTAACGTATACAAGAGCGACGTTATATGGAACGTACATCGACTATTTCACAATAGCTCCATTGTTTGTATCTGACTTTTCTCACGCACGCGTTTCGTATTTCATCTGAAAATGACAGTGAGCGAGCGTTGGTGCATTCGATGCATTCGGGCGCTCAATTTTTCCGACATTCTCTTCGCGAAGCGAAAGGACGGCTTTGATCGCGTTTTGCTTTAGATTTCGCGAAAAAATCGAGGTAAACTTCAAATTTCAAATCTTCATTGTCTAATCGTGACTCCAAACACTTCGCAGTCTTAGGATTAAATAAATAAATAAATATACAAATAACCCGTTGTTGGAAATGTGAGATGAGAGATCAGCATTCTATTTCATTCTTTTGAAATCTTTGTAATATCTTTAAGATTTTTTTCTGTTAACTGTTATTAAATTTTGATATTCCACAAAATCATGAGAGATTATAAGGTTTGAGAAATTATAAAAATAGAACAAAAAAAGAGGAAAAAAATCCACCAAATTCCAGCTTTCTAATAACGGGATAAATATGAATAAGTACATAAAGATAAATATATAAATAAATAAATCGATAAATATAAAAATGAACAGATAAATATAAAAATAAATAAACCTTATTAGAATATATTAAATTTAATGGTAGGTAATTCTTGAACGCGCGAGTATACTTCTTCGAGTTTCTCAACTCTTCGAGTGAAAACATATTTTCGCTTCCTTTAGAGCAAGCAGGATCATTAGTGCCTTCCTCGATTTTTTCCTTTGGTTGCTCGAAAAAAAATTATTGAAATTTTCTTTACCTTTCTAGTTGAAGACCACATAGCTTTTTGTGAAAAATAAATTGCTAAGTATTTTACTTTTAATGATTTTTAAACACAAATGCTCCGAGAAACAAGCTATCCCACAAATGATCCTGGTTGCCACTCGGAGGATTAAACATCTTCGAGTTTCAACATAGAGAAAACAGCAGTAAAACGACCATCTACAGAGAATCAAAGTAAGTCAATAATTTGTATACCTCGAGATTCTTTATTGACTCTTCAAATTCGATGGAATTTGCAGGGCCAATGTTGAATCAAAGTTTCGACTCGGGTAACTCGGGGAATCCGCGAGTCTCTTTAAATCTCCACATGGAGAAAACGGCAATAAGTTACAATTTGTAATATCAAAGAAGCACAGCAGTTTACGCGAACGCTAAATCTATCTAGGAATACATCTATAGGGATGTTTTATTGATCTGCAAGCACGACGATTGCAAGTTTAACGTAGAATATCAACTTGGATTGTAACACTTAGCAGTTAATAAGCAAAAGATCGTTCTGGATTTTACAACTTCCCGTGAGTGTTTCACCGACAAGTTGCTGGCTTCCGCTTTCGCGGTGAGTTTGCAGCTCATTAATGGCGTAGATAATAATAAAGTATCTTATAGGCAGGACTCCCTCCCGAGAAACGAAGGAAGTTTCTTGCGTCGATAAAATAACGGTATCGTCTTAAAAGCGGAACCGACGCTCACGAGGCGGATTTAAACATTTAATGAACACGTTTAATGGTCGATAGAGAAAAAAGAAAACTTTTCAACATATCAAACAGTGCGATTCTCCCGTCCGTTTGCAGCCATGAGGCTTATAATTGAAGGAATATTGGCATCTCGACGTTGAGAGCCATTATTCGCTTGTCTTCCGGTATTTATAACCGAGAGAGATGATGGAAAGAAGACGTTACGTCTTCCCGTTGTATATTATCCAACGTCTCTTGGTTTAAAAGTTCGAACAATAGAAATATCTCGTTTGCCAAATCCCCTTGCAGTCGTGCTCGTCTCGACATTCCGAGGCAGACAATGAGAACTCGAAACAAACGGGAATTAGCGAGAAGACAAAGGCATAAGTTATCAAGCGGTGGTGATAATCGCGAAAAGTCGAAGTCAGGACGCGCGGAAGCTGGAGACCTCCGCGAGAGAGTTTCTCGTGGCGCGCGCGCTCGCGGCACGTGCTCATTATTGATTATCCAGATTCCCCCGTCGCCGGCAGTGATTTTCAACGTAGCAATTTGTGTCGCGATGATCCTGCGGCGACTTTATCGTAGAAAGCAGCCGGGCGATATTTCATGGTTCGCGAGTAGAGCGCGAGTAGAGTCGCGACCGACACGTCGCGCCGTAAACTTTCTCGAGTAGGAAACGACCGCGCCGATCGATAGTCACGCAGTCATCTGCGCACTATAAGCCACCATCTGGAGGACGACTCCGCGTATTCGCGCGAACGATGCTTCGAAGTTCTTAATCTGTAATAATTTCTTAATTAGCGCAATGAACGCCGCAGTTGGCGCGCGAAGTACGCCGCTGCTACGCGTAACCGTTGACATTTTGCACACACTGAGAGAAAAAGGTTGATCGAAATAAAATTATAGTACTTTTGGCCCCAACCATATTTTCTGGTTGCTCTAACACGAAAATGGCAGCAGTAACACTCATGTAAGATTATTATCAATTAACATTACAGGAGAATTTAATTAAAAAGAAATGGTTTTCTTGATCATAATTTATAGCAAATATTCCTCCATGTGATTGTAGTTGCGAATATCAAATCTTTTTTCTCAATGTATAACAGTTTCCTTTTTTTAACGAGTCTGCCTATCATTTTCAATAAGTCCTTCAATAAGTCTGCGAAAGCGAAAAGTAATTTTGTACGAAATTTACACACGGAGAAATGCAGACTACATTCGAGAAAACGTTTCATGTATTCCATAAGTTTATATATTCGCAAATTTGTCGTAATCGATAATCGATATTCTTATAAAGAGAATATATTCTTCTTTTGAATACATGATAATCAGCTCTTCTAAAATTTAAATTACGAATACGTTTTAAAATTATGATCAAGAGAATATTTCTCGTTGAAGATAATACTCAAAAGAAGGAAAGTGAAGTGAGTAACCCTTTTCCTTAGCAATAGAATAGTTTTCTCTGTGCATACACGGTAAATACTGTTGGCGTGGGAAATATGCTAATAATATTATACGCGGAATAACACTCTTACAGCGATTTTCAATGCCCAGATCAGACTATACAGACGTGACAGTTGCACAATATCAGCTACCGTGCAGTCTTACTAAATCTTTTTTAATCCTGCGAGATTGAGAGGTCTCTTACCTGAAAAGTTGTATGCGAGAGATTTTTATCGTCCCTATCCAGTGGCTGTAGAAGCTGCAGTTTCTTGCCGTTTAGCTTAAAGAGAGGTTCCCTCCCATTGAAGTTCAGTTCCAACGTCGTCTCGTTGTATGGGTCGCCTGACACCGGAAGCTCTTCCGGCACGGTCTTCTGATCGATCGCTGGAATAGAAGAAAGAACGACGAATGCGATTACCGTCGATTCATCTTCTATCTGAGAGGATGCAAGGGCGGATTTGCGCGGCAGCGACGAAGGATTCACTTTCGTGGAATTTTCAATAAAGTTCGAAATGAAATTTCCGAGAGAATATCGTCGATCATTTATTTTGAATCGAACGAACAATAACATATTGCCTGACTTTTTCGCGAATATAATGAAATATTGCAAATATAATGAAAAATCACGGTCGTTAAATTTTCAATAAAAAATAATTATTGAGGCGGACGAGGCGTTCGTAAAAATTGCATATTTGTTTCGTCGGCAAAAACACGTGAAAAGCTATTAGTGCGGCAGAAAGAGAATTAGGAAACGTGTACGAGTAATTATCTGGAGGGAGCTGCTTTATTATTTACATAATACGACTTCCTAGAGCAAATATCAATGTCTTCTTGTGTAACGGTTGGCGGATTGACGTCTATCTCGAGCGATATCTCATTAGTGAAAGTCGGCGCAGTTTAATTGCAAAGTACTCGTTGTTCTACTTTTCCGATATTACCATCCACTGATTTTTGTCCTCGAAAGATTTTTAAGCCTGCAATTATTTCCCTTCGAACGCCTCACGTAACCGTCCATACTCGCTAACTAGCATTGGATTTCTTAAAAAGAAATCCAATGCTTCTGACTATAAACTTAAGTCTTAAATTTATGTTCTGCTCGAGGGAGTCAGTAATGGTTTTTCGTTAAACACAATATATACGGGTAAATTAATCGACATAGAGGAAAAACCGTTCCTTCTTTGGGAGCGGAGCAGTCTCAGCTTCCGAAGGCAATTTGTTTCACGTTGCTACGGCTTTTCTACGTAGAGTTATCGACGAGCGGTGAATCGTTTGATGGAGACCGCGGCCCGTCAACAACGTCGCGCCTTCTCCCTGTTTTTTTTGGTCGCCTTGACGGAAAGGTGTTAAGTTCGTGACGGCGTGAGCGCACTACAATGTATTGTAGGCAAAAGACCTGACACCGCTCTCGGAAAAACGTCCCTATCTTGGCGAAAAATCGACGTATAAACGTAAAACAAACGACACTTTTCTCGGAATTGTGCGCAGCACGCGTCCATCGACGTCTCATGTGCTCTTATCATGACACATGTTCTCGTATAAGATCATACGCGGTATACGCGTTATATACGACGCTAGAATATATTTAAATGCGAAAATAAAGAACATTGGAAATTTTTTACTACATATAGTACGAAATTTAGTACATATCCTTTTCTAAAAATTCCGTTAGAAATGTCAAACATTTATTAAAATAGACAATGTGTGTGTGTGTGTGTATATATATGTTGGACATCTGTAATGAGATGTTTGGCTCACCCAAGAAAGTATAATCTTATTCTTAAAAGAATTGTCTTATAAATGACCTCAAGAAGATTTTTCCAAAACCAAAAGAAAAATACTAGTAGTATACTGTTATTTCTCTTCATTAGAAGAATTTCTCATTACAATTAATCAATAAAGAATATTTTATTAATAACAGTCTTAAAATACACCCATCACAATTTTGAGAAAAGTTCGTTATCATGCTCCGAAGAAGAATTTATTTTCTTTACAAGAATATCATAAAATTTTATCCAGGAAAATATTGGTCCAATTTCATGTAGTAAGTAAATTGAGTTCTTGTTTTACTTCAATATTCTTAATTAAAGTGCTGATCTTACTAGGATTACAGAAAGCAGCACCTTGCGATTAAAGTTCTCTTTTCTTAAAAAGTGTTAGAATATTTTTCTTTTAGTTCTAAAAGAATCTGCTCTTGAGGTCATATATATAAGAGAGAATTCTCTGTCAAGAATAAAATTACATTCTTTTGAGTGCACTACGGACCGTTAGCAGATAAAGGAATGCATGTAGATTAAGTTGGACCCGCTTTCATTTCCTCTCCAGTCTACAAAGTAACAGCCCTCTTTCGTATTTCAGAGTTGCTTCAATGCGACGGATTTATTACCATTCACTCTCGCGGGATACAATAAGTCATTTCCTCGTCAAAATAGTGCCGCCTTGAGAACCGCCCGCCAACAAAGACATCGTGCATTATGCATGCGGCAGACGAAGAGAGGCTGGACGAGATAGCTGTTCAGATTTGCGGGGTACAAGACGATTACGCGGGGATACCGTGCGGGAGTCGGCGCGCGAGCAGCGTGACTGGCTCGATTTCGATAGTCATCGGTCAGCTCCCACAACTGCGAAATGCGCCGTAACTTCCGCGTGATGGAACGTTGGAGTTGTGACACACATACACACGCGCGGTCTCGAAATCGGATTTATTCGCGAATACGTAACGACACCTTATCAACTCGCGCGATCGATACGGTCGATAATGCAATGTCGAGCGAATCGGATGATCCGCAACAAGCGAAGCGAGCGTGACTCGCGACATGGGGAGGAATAACGGTCAAATAATAGAAATAATAATAGGTGTGCTGCGTTTAGATAAAAGAATCAACAGGACAGAACTTTTCCCGCAATATTAATAGGCATTTTTTTCATTATATGAGAGCAACACACAAAGCTACTGTAAGGAGTGAAGAATGACGGTGATAACAACAGAAACAGTAATACCATAATGGCAATGAGTAAGAAACAATAAATTATTTTACTCGACGTTAGCCTCTGCCTCTTGGTGTTGTAAAATATAATCCACACAGTATAAATGTCTGAAAGACATCTTAGAGACGTCTGGAAAATATCCTTTTAGACGTCTTTAAGATGTCTTTAAGATATATTCTGGACATTTGTGCTGTCACGAGAATCTGCATATTCTATTAAAAATTCTAAAAGAACGCGCGACTGAAGTGAATCTTATGAATCTGTACACACAGAAAAATATCGTTCTACTACTGAGAAAAATAATTATTTAGTTTATTTTCCTTCTTTTGAATAATGGATATGTTCAATGAAGAATATTTTTTCTCTTGATGACAGTCTTAAAATATACTCATCACAAATTTATGAAAAGCTCATTATCATTTGCTCAAAAGAAGAATTTATTTTCTTTACAAGAACATCATAAAATTTTATCAAAAAAATATTGCTGCAACTCCATGTAGCAAACAAATCGAATTTTTGTTTAAATTCGATATTCCTAATTAAAGTGCTTATCTGATTAAAATTCAGAATGTGAATTTTGAATAAATTGACTTGTGATAGATTTACGATATACGAACTTATGAAGCACTCGAAACGAGTAACACTTGCTTGAATGCAATATTTATTTTTCTGTGTGTATACTCTATGAAAAATCCCAAAATACGTGTAAAACTGAATGAAATTTCATAGGCATTTACGCATTTATATCCGCGTCTCAGGCTCTCTCATTGACCCGGTTCTTCGCGAGTCGAGTGTCTGAGAGCCTTCAACCACTATTTAAATGAATGAAAATGCTAAGTAAGCATATGTAGCGAATTAGAAAGTCTACACTTACCATTTCCTCTGCTCTCCTCGATATCAAGGATGATGTTCGAGTGTCCCGATTCCACCTCGCACAAACCTGAAACAAATAAGCAAGATATTGTTGTGCTGAATTCGTCAAGAAACACGCGGACGGACGATTCGCGCTTACGATCTCACGACAAGCCGCGGGGATCAGCGTGTGCACCTGACGCGCCACTTCCGCGTCTCGTCTTCTATTTTCAAAGCCGGCCAGCACGCCCGCGCACTCGCGAGCAGGTGCGAGAAATCCGCTCGGCCAGGAACGTGACGCGCAAAACGCTCGCATTAGGGGGAAAGAGATTACGGCATCGTGCGAGCGTGCATCCCGACGTGCGCCAGCTGTTACGAGGGACCGGTCGACGGACAATTTTGTCGCGTCTCGGCGGCCAGACGAATTAATCGGATTGCACGCTTAACGAACACGCGGGCCTAATTACTGACGCGTCCGTTACCGATGCGATACGCGAATGCGTTGCATCGCCGAGTGATTTATAGCGTAATGCGATAGTTACTTCGCGCTTTAAACGCATCTCCCTCTTCCTCTCCCCTCGCTCTCACCGTTTTAATACTCTCTATTACGGCGGTTAAATAATTGAGTTGAATGAAAGAGAGCTCGCCCCGGCATGTTCCGCCGAAATTCGCTGCATTATTCATTCTACAATCGCTACAATCGCTACAATCGTGCTATAATTATGCAAGAATGATCCATATGAAGTACATTTCGAGAAAAATGAAGATGAGATCATCTGATCAGAATGCGGTCAACGGTGCATTCTCTTCAGCAATGATGTTGAGATGTTGAGGACTTGGCGGAGAGCGTCCGTGTTTTCTCGAGTGACACTGGAGATTTCACTGTGTTTATTTTATCGAGGGGAAAGCTTCCTTAATAATTTACCGGGACGCAGCGGCGCATCTCTCATAGTGTTCTCACTTGATGCCGGGGTCGCGCACAGAGTCTTGACGCGAAAAGACAAAAGGTACGACGCTCGCGAGAGAAGGTGCGCGTGCCTGTAGCAACGATCTTCCCGTGAAAGGTTAACGTCGAACTAATAGTCACGAGGAGATGCGCCGCGTCTTGCTAGAAAAAAAAACAGCCGATTGTACAACGCTACACACGACATTTGCCTTCTGCTCGTACGCTTTACCCACTTCGCGTTGGGCGCCATGTTCGTACGTGACTTTCGTTGCTGAAGATTGAATTCGAAGAGAGACGAGAAAATCCACGTAAGATCAATATCTTAAGTAACAACTCTCTCTCACTCTCTCTTTCTATGGTCTCGAAAAATTGCAATCTTTATTGATAATTTTCTACTGATGAAAAAAGGCCTGCGAAATTAACACACCAAAGTGTGAATTTTTACAAGAGTGACATGAGATTCATTTGTCCATAATTGTCCATAAATAGTTCCGCTTTGTTCACTCCTTTTACCAAATAATATAAATACGTAAAAAAATTGCACTAATATATAATTGCACTAATATTTTTACAAGCATCCCTAAGCTTTCCTTCAAATTACATACTAGTATTGAACAGAATTATTTATGAACAAAATGAACAAATGTCATGCCGATTTTGTAAAAATTTACACTTCAGAGAATCTTTTGGTTCCAGAGGAACCCCGTTGAGGCGATACCCAAGAGAATTCTTGTAAGAATCAGATAACATTTTAAGGGTAAATTGGAGTCCTTGCGTCTATGTGTGTATTTACTGTTCAGCTTGTTCACGAATCGCGAGCAAGATTCTTGGCATGCGTTGTATTTCGCTTCAGACATTCATGCGCGTCCGTACCGCTGTGCTCTGTCAACCGAGTGCAATTAGTCGAGTAATTTGCGATCCAGGGTTCAAGTAATTCAGTTCGCACGACCTCCTCGGTGAGTGTCGCGCGTTCCGTTGCGTATTGCTGCGCTGCGAAATTCGCGCGATTCCCGCGCGAACATTCGTCATAGTCCGGCCGGGCGCGACATTCCGAGCCCTCGTAAAGCCCCTTGCGTAAATCTCACGAGACGGTGCACCACTAACACAGCTGTATCCCGATCATTTCTTCCCGCATAGAAAGCGGCCGCGGCGTTAGAAAGTGCATATTGCAGAAACGGTTCGTCGTGTCGAGATCGCGCGACCCATATTTCCCATCCGCGCTCACACGGCCGACGTATCGGAGAGCTTCGAGCTGAAGCGAGTATATTATTTCGTCAAGTTGCGCCGCGACCCGCTGATCCTGCTGATCGAACATCCGCGTCTCGCGACCTCGTGCGATTTGTTCCGTTTCCTCGGCGCGCCTCTCTCATCCACGTTGGTTCACGCACAAAAGTGCGCAAACGTCTCGCGCGACTCTGTGATTTGAAACAATATTGCGAAATGCAGGGTAAAGAGACATGGGGGTCTGACAGCGTGCCGTTAATGGCTTTTGACCACATGTGATAGCCGGTGCACACATATACACGCGATCACGAATATCGAGATTGGTGTCGTGGGAATCGATGCTGAAAGTCACAGGCGGTGCTCCCGCCGGCAACTTTTCAGCACGAAATCCATTATCGAGAAAATTCCGCTGTATCTACACATATCGGCGAAAGTTTCGCACTATCTGGATTTCCGTAAAGCCGCACGTGCATCATTTCACAAAGGGAGGAGCGATCTGCAGCGATCTAAGCTAAAGCGAAAGTTCATGGCGCCCCTTTGTACCTATCGATGAAAGATTGCAAAACAACGTCCGAAGTCAAGTGACGGCAAGAATAGCGCGGGTTGTTTCGATTTTGCGCGAGAGTTACGAGAGAAGTACGTTTGTAGAGAACAAATCTCTCATTGGCGTGGCGAATTGCACGAAGGTAGAGATTACTCGCGCGTGGAAAAGTGCTCGTGGTAATAATAATCGTTCCGTCGTTTATTATCGCGCGTTTTTCGCGTTACCGCGAGTAAAATCCTCGGTCCCGCTGTGAGTCACGTTTCTCCGCTTTAAACCCCCGCTTTGAAACAGCGCAAAAATCACGACGATATTTTCAATACATGTTTTACTTGACAGAAGCCAAAATTTAATACTACATTAATTCTACAAATTCCGTGGAAGAATCAGTGGAAAATAGAACGCTACACACAGAAAAAATATTATTTTACTGAAAATTTTGAGAGAAGTGATTTAAAAATTTATCGTCTTTACAAGAATATTTTAAAACTTTATAAAAAAAAAGTTGGTTTAACTCTATGTAGCCGGCAAATCTAATCTCTTCTTCTTTGAAATAATGATTATCTTCAAAGAATATAAAGAAGAAATATTATGAAGAAATATTCTTCACATATAAAAGAATATTTTCTTGATAATAGTTTTAAAATATATTTATCAAAAATTTTAGAAAAGCTCATTATATAAAAGTTATCCTTTTTACAAAAGTATTTTAAAACTTTATCAACAAAAAAGTTGGTTTGTCTCTATGTAGCCAACAAATTGAAATTCTGGTTTAATATTCTCGATTTAACTACTATGTGATTTAACTTACCAGGATTTAGAATGTATCTAGATTAAATTTGATTCTTACAACAGATTTGTGGACATATAAACTTATGAAATACTTGAAACGAAGCACATTTACTTGAATGCAGTATATATTTCGCTGTGTGTACGCACGCTATTGTCCTACCTTGATGTTACAAATGATTAATGTGGGTAAAAGGAAGAATTACACCGCGTCATTGCTTCGCGTTCACATTAAGGTAACTCGCACAAACAAGATATTCGTGAGTTTCACATGAAAGATAGTCGCCGAGATGTAATTTGTAATTAATTGACTAAGACTTAGTCGACTTTTTATTCTCCCTTTCGCACGTCCCAGTGCTCAGCAATGATGCGTTAGACTATGAGCCGGCTCTTTGCGTGTGCACGCGTGCAAGTTAATTAATGAAGTCTTCTTTCCTCACGTTACGCTCGTGCAACGACGGAAGGTCATTTCCCGTTTCTGCGGGAAACGCGTATTCGTCGGCCGTTGTCAGGTGCGCGAGCACGCTTAAAATTTAATTACGCAACGGTGGTTGGTAAGGCAGACGCGGCATGAATAACAATGTGCGTCTAACGCGCGTGATGCACAATGTGCAACGGTTCGCGGTTCGACAGAGTATGAAAGCCACCGGGAAAGCTCACACCTCCGCGCGTGCCGTTAATCCGCGTGTTTATGCGACGACAACGATAAAACACGACTGCCTATCAGTTGTGACGTAAGTAATTGGCAATCAGCCACGATAGATTTACGCGCGCGCGCGCGTGTGTGTGTACGTGGGAAACCGCACGGCCGTGCGCACTCTTACGCTCGAGTCGCGTTTTATTTCGTTAGACGAAACATTTCCGCGTCAAGGGGTGATTTTCTGAGCACGTTGAATGCCGTGACGGTCATCGCAGACGGACACTATCTCCTTGTCCACAACCTTGCTTTAATTCCTAAGCTTTAAGAAGTTGACTAACCATAGTTGATTATTTTTAAAATATTCGACTATAGTTGGTCAATTTATTACGGCTTAAAGATTGAAACAAAGTTGTGGACAAGGGATATGATATCACTGCGTTGCCATTTAAGGGGATGCTGGAGTCGAAATCGATAGAATATTGACTTTTTTCTGCAAAGTTTACGTTGCATTGACTGTGCAAAATATAAATACTTTTACACGATAAGAATATATGCGAGCATGAATTGGAGCATTGCTTGATAAAACGATAAGAAATTTCGAAGTTAACATTTCTAGTAAATTAGTCCGTCAGACATTATCAGTTAGAGTAAATATGCAGTTGGTACAAAAGATCTGTATGCGACGTATCCTTTGCTTGATTTTAAAATCTCTCATGAGAGCGTAGAACAGGATTGAAAACAAAAGTTCTATACCATTTTTTGCGATATTCGCATCAACTCTATCGAGATATTAGTTAAAGAAAATTTGTAAATAATGACGCTCGATATGGTAGATGAGCTGTAATAACGACATACGGCCAATAGGGAGCCAATAGAAAGAAGTAAAATATGTATGCATTGCAAACTGCATTTCTTGATAGTACTTTTGATATTTTGTTTATCAATGAAGCTTTCATATAAGCGCGTTCATATAGTTAATGTGCCAGCGAGGCACGGAAATAACGGAAAAAAACAATCGCAAAATTACTCACCGACTTTGGAGTGAGCGCCCCGAAGATGTAAAATTAAGCACAGCAAGCACCAGAACCAGTATATCGTTGTTCTTGCCTGGAAAAAAAAGAGCATCGATTAATCGCGATCTTCATCGATACAGCAATTACAACGCGTGCACATAACCGGACGAGAGAAGCGCAGATTACGAATTAAATTACGAGACCGCGAAGAGCTTCGCTCGCAATCAGTCGCGCCTGGCGAGTTTCATCCGCCAGAACGAACATGCTATTCATAAGCCACGCTCTTAACCGCCATCGCTCACAGCGATCCTTAGCGACTTAAAGCAGTAGGCACTTCGCTAAAACATCACGAAGCGCACTACACGTACTTTCCACAAACTCGCGCTAAGTTCAGTGCGTATTACGCGACTCGACTATGCGCGCAGCTTGTAATGACAAATAGCCCCATCGCTCTTCTAAACGAGTATCTTATAACTCGTTGACTAAACGTGAAGGAAGTGTGCTTCGATCGAAATTAACGTTTTCTTTCGTATCAATTCTCTCTCGTTACTAAAAACTTCTAATTTCCGACTAATCCCGACTAATCGGAAATAAATCAAGATGAAGCAAAAAAAAAAAAATATATATATATATATATATGTGTGTGTTGATAATTGAGATGGTGCCCAAAATTAACTTGTCTTTGCATACATTGAGAGAAATATTCGAAAACTTATATTTGTAAGATATAAAGTTTATCTCTGTGAATAAACTTTACATCCCATAAAGAAATTTTGAAGATTTTTTTCTCAGTGTGTGTACAAAGAATGCGAAGTCTTTGAAGACTTACGAAAACTGTAGAGACTAAAAAGCTAACGCATTTCTGAAGCGAGGAATAAAATACTCGTGAAAGTTCGCGATCGGTCGACACTTGGTAATGCGAGCCGTTTACGTGAACTCCGATATTATATTTCAGGGTGCGATTATCGTGCGGATAACGAGGAATATGCTGGGACAACGCACAGGACGCGGCCAGGAGCTTAACGGGGGCGCATCCTCTCTTTCTTTCTCTCTACCTTTTTCACTTTCACTCTCTCGCTCTCGCGTGTACAGGGGCGTATGGAAGATCTCGAGAAGAGCGAGGAGAGTGGAGGATCGATAGCGCAGGCGGCTCTGTGAGGCCTTATGCTAATGCGCTATCGATGCACCGTGTGTAATAAGGCTATGCGCCAGCGCGAATGAAATGCCGAACGAAGGGAAACAATGTTATCGGCGTCGCGTGATCTCGGGCCGCGCCGCTCTTGGACCCGCGTTCCTGGATTCGCGCTCATCCGGGCCCCGCCGGCGTTTCTCACCTGAACACGCGTGTGCTCATCAGCGCGCGTAAAGTACAATGCTTTCTACCCCTGGACCCGCGTCCTTTCGCGAGGAAGAGAGAGGAAGAGAGACGCGCCATCCGCGCGCGTAAAGATCCGCGGATTCTGCATGCGGGAACATTTGTTACGAGAATCTTCGAACGATCCACCAGAATGTTTGCATGCATCAACCTTCGGTTTTAACAATTACATTTGTGATTTTGTATATAATGATTGATTAATTATGATGATTGATTTACCGATTATTTTAGTTAAAGAAAATTTTCATCGATTAATGTGTCCAACACTGATTAATTATGATGATTGATTTACCGATTATTTTAGTTAAAGAAAATTTTCATCGATTAATGTGTCCAACACTGATTAATTATGATGATTGATTTACCGATTATTTTAGTTAAAGAAAATTTTTATCGACTAATGTGTCCAACACTACCGACGGTAAGGTTAGTTCTTTTGCCTCAATATTATTGAGCGATATCGTCTTGCATAAGCCTGAATAAAGCACTTCGCCGTACTTCGTTTTAATCCGTTAAAATCGAATTTTCGTATATTTTAATCGCGTAATACATAGACGAAAGTTCTCTTTATCTACAAGTTACAGATATACGAGGAAATTTATCGTGAAATTTGAAAGAGCATTAATAATACTCTATATTTCACGAGATGCTCCAATTTCACTCTGTTAACACGCATTCGCTGACTGCCTCGTAACGTGTAACCGAGAACGATAATGCGTTCGTGCTTGCACCAAGTAACGTACGCGGCTATGATTTCACGTGGCGTAATGGAGAAAAATCGGAGACAGAGATAGGGAGAATTGTATGAGCCTCTGTATGAGAGTTCCGCATGGCGAGGATCTCGCGTGTACCTCGCCAGATCGTGCAGTCACCTCGCGTTCAAATTAGGCTATCGGCTTGAACGTCGTCCGCGCAAACGTGTCTCGCATGTACAAGAGCCTCCTATGGTAACACATGATCGCGTGTTCGCGCTTTTTGCTCGCGCTAAATTATTTCGAAATATTTGGCCCGCCTGTTTAAGATGAGACACCCTGTATATATTAGATCAGGATTTATCGTAGCAAATATTTCGCATGAAAATTAATTCAGACAAGAGACAAACGATAGAGTTATTCACGACTATCTCTAACCCTTTATTTGGCAAATCTAAAAAATTTAAGGAACAGAATTTCTGAGTGTTCAAATGAAGTAAATCATATTCTTTGAATGTAGTTATATTGTTTCAAAAATTCAGTTTGCTTTTACTATCCAGAGTCGAGCCAGCTTTTTCTTTGACAAAGTCTTATAATACTTTTGCGAAGAAAATAAATTTTTCTTTCGAATACACGATAATGAACTCCTCCAAGTTCTATGTGCAAGAACGATGAATGCGTAACGCACTTATTTAGCACTATTACTGAGCAACATTGCCAAATAGAGTTGAGAAACAGAGATGAACATGTGGCAAGCGAGAGCCACTTCTGAATCGTCCTGTACAAGTGCGGGTAGAGCATGCGGGCAACAAGAAAGGCTATCCTGCGAATACCATGACCGCAGGAACAGTACCCCGTCGACCCCATACATAGGTATACGTCGCGGAAGACCATTCACCAAACTTTTTCTCGCGGTTTCCTTTCGAAACGCATTTACGAAAGCGCTACGACGAGACGGCCGTCTAGAGAGTCAAAGAGGATGCCGTAATTGATGTAACGAGCAGCAACTCCATTCACCGCGCTGGATAAGTAGGAGAGCGATTCGCGTTCCGTTCGAGTTGCGCGCCTTACGCGCAGATTTTACGCCGGAGAGCCCGTTTCCACGTTCGATAATTTGGCGCCTCGATCTTCGTCTCTTCGGGGCTCGTTCTTCCCGCAACGCGTTCGACAGGGTGGCGGCGGCGGCGTTACGTACGAGCGATCGGCCGTTTTAGAACGGAAATTTTATCGGTCCACCGTGGTTCTCTCGCGTATTAGATAATTAACGTCGCGGCGGAAGCAGTAACGCGATGACGAACGAGACAAGATAACCAGGCGCATTCACTTTCTCATGATTTACCGAGGCCTAAGTGGCGTTGAAAATATGTTACGGAGCGGCCGGTGCACGGCTACGTATCAATTATCGCCGCGGTTTCCGAATTTATCGTTGAGCGGCTCTCTATCCAACTGGAGTTATTCGCCGGCACGCTCGACATTACGTATATAACGGAGGTATTTGAGATATTTCACCCATAAGCGTCAGTGGATTTGCTAAACGCAGCAAATTTGCCATAAGCATGTGCATATCATATATCTGATAGCAGCCCTGAAGGCCCGTGACTGATAATTCCGCGCGCAATCGGATGTTAAAGATGGAGCAGGATTACGAGTAATTAATTACTTTTTTAATTAATTACCGTGCTTAACCGACGATCGGTATAAGCCAATTCGATTGAAAGCTGGAGAGTTTAATTGACAATCGATTTCGACAAATAAAATCAAAAACTATTTGACTAATTATTGATTTCAACGAGTTCAATTAAAGACCGTTCAATCGACAATTAATATGAGAGAAGAGAATTAAAATTCATTTAATTAATAATTGAACTTGGTAAATTTGATTGAGGACTGTTCTATCCACAATTAAACGGTCCTTAATCCCTTTATAGCAATCGTCAATAAAACAGTCTTTAATTGAATTTGTTGAATTGTGAGTGAAACATTATTCGATTTATTTTGTGGAATCAACCGCCAATCAGTCGAATTAAAACATATTTATTTAAATTGATTGCTGAATTGAGAAAAATTCGATTGATATTTTTACAATTTTTATGTGCTATTGATAATTAAGACCTTTGATGAGAGTGAAGGAAAGAAGGGAGAAATATATCGAAGCGTGCGACTTTCAGTAGCTCAGGTGATAGAATAGTCATCTGGATAATGAAAAATTCTGGGTTCGATTCCCGGCTCAGTTTATAACATGTCCGATGTATCTTTTCTCATTTCTTCTGCAACTTCTTACAAGTTGCTTCAGCAAATCAACTTGTACTGTGAAAATAAGAGATTGAGTTGTATATGAGTTGATTTACAAGTTTGAGGTGGAGTTAGTCGGGGAAGGTTTGAAAGTATAACGGTGAGACATCATACAAATGTGTAACTAATTCCCTGGGGCTACCGGAAGAAGATAGATCTCGCGGGAAAGAACACTTCCGCGTGAGAAACCAGAAGTGGAACCGTGTCGTTAGCCTTCGCGCTTGTGTACTGCAAAGTCTGAAGCCGAGCGTGATCTCCCCGAAGTAAGTCGGGTCACGCGAGGACCGGAGGAAAGTTTCTATCGAGACAAGAGACTCTTACTCGTGCTGTTCAGCTCTCAGTGTGCCTTAACATTTACTTTTCTGTCTAAGAGACTTGGGCGTATCGGACCGGAATATATCGAGATCGGACTACGCCCGTATCTGACGCGACATTCATTTCCATTATGCGGCACATTAATTACGATATGCCTTCCATGAGGTATTATCCCGATTTCCTGGACGGTAATAGCTGAAACAGCGAGTTGCCATTTGAATACGGTGACACGATTGCAATATGCACGGGGAGTATTTTGTAGTAAAAATTACTGTAAGATTTTGTAACCGCGAGGAATAGGTCGACATTCTGCAGTAATTCATTATCTTTTCGTTTCATATGTGCTACTTATATTTTAGAAACTGATAATGTGCTATTAAAACACTTGCTATGTTTTTAGCGAAATCCGCTGCATTTCTA